CTCGGCCATGGCCGGGGAGGGGGGGGATGCTTGCTCCGCAGGGCCCGGCGGGGGGGTCTCGTGGGTTCCTGTATGTCTTCTCGCCTCGGGATGCTCTCGAGCGAGCAGCTGCGCCTCGCCGAGAGCTTTCCTGGGGTGCCAGGATCGTCCCGAGCCGCCGCCAGAAGCCCAAGTTATGGTTAAGTCGGGTCTGTCCCTTTACAGGGGGGATATTCAAAAATAGAGTAAAGAATAGTATGGGGACGATTTTTCTTTGTATTTTTGCATATGTTAGGATTGTTGTGACTATTGTTAGATAGTCTTCCAAAACTCGCCTGTAGGGGGACATGCCCGACCTAAAATTATGGCCCGAAAGACAGGCTCGGTGGGTGGGGGGACCTTGAGATCGGGTCGCTGCAAGTATTTCGGGCGTTTTCGCTCGGTTTCGGGCCTCGGGACCATCACTGGTTGATCTGGCTCGAAGAATGCCACAGAAGGATGGGGTCCAGAGCTCGGGTCGTCACTTGTCGCAATGCTGTAATTTTCGCAACGTCGGATTTCAGGGGGTGGAGGAGGAGGAGGAGGAAGAAGAAGATCTTTGTCTTCGTCGTCGTCGCCACTGGTTTGTGGGGAGTTGGGAGGGGCGGGGGGAAGGGGAGGGGGGACACAAGTCCTTTCCCTGGTAAGCTGGTCCATTCTTTGGTGAAGGTTCAGAAGATCCTGAAGCTTTCGAAGTTTTGCAACCTTTTCTCCTGCCTTCCTTAGCAGCTTTTGAGGCGCCCCTTAGCAGCTTTTACGGCGCTCCGTAGCAGCTTTTACGGCGCTCCTTAGCAGTTTGCACGGCACTTCTTTAGCAGTTTTTACGGCGCTCCTTAACAGTTTCACGGCGCTCCATAGCAGCTTTGAGGGCTCCCTTTGGCAGGTTTTAAGGCGTTTCTTAGCAGCTTTTACGGCGCTCCTTAGCAGCTTTTAAGGCGCTCCGTCGCAAGTTTTACGGCGCTCCATCGCAGCTTTTAAGGCTTTCTTTGCCAGTTGTTTCAGGCGCTTCTTAGCAGGTTGTAGGGCGCTCCTTAGCAGCTTTTAAGGCGCTCCTTAGCGTTCCTGATGGTGATGGTGATGATGCTGATGACGACGCTGATGATGATGATGATGATGATGATGATGATGATTATGATGATGATGATGATGATGATGATGATGATGATGATGATGATGATGATGATGTTGGTGATGATGATGGTGGTAATGGTGACGTGATGTTGATCATGCTGATGCTGATCATAATCGTGATAATGATGACGTTCGTCGTCATGGTGGAGATGATGACGATGGTGACGACCATGGTGTTGATGATGATGGTGATACTGAGGATGAAGAGGAATGATGATGATGACAGGGAATGACAATGATGATGAGTGGTGATGCTGAGGAATGGTGATGATGATGATGATGATGATGATGATGATGATGATGATGATGGTGATGGTGTTCATGATGAGGATCACGATGCTAATGATGCTGATGCTAATGCTGGTGATGATGATGATAATGGTGATGACGATGATGACGATGATGATGATGATGATGATGCTGATGATGATGATGATGATGATGATGATGATGATGATGATGATGATGATAATAATGATGATGATGATGATGCTGGGGTTTGCTTGGCCGTTTTGGGGCCCTGTTGGCCGTCTTGCCTGTCCTGGGCCGTCTAGGTGCCCTCTTGGGCCGTCCTGGGCAGTTTTGGATGCCTCTCAGCTTATGTGTTGGTCGCATCTTCGCTCGTCGTCGCCATTCGTTGCGGACCTAACGCAAGACGGAGGGGGATGAGGAGGAGCTTGGGATGAGGATGAGGAGGATCGATGATGAGTGAGGGGAGGACGAAGGGGGAGATGATGATGATGCTGATGATGATGATGATGATGATGATGATGATGATGATGATGATGATGATGGTGCTGATGCTGATGCTTATGCTGATGCTGATGCTGATGCTGATGCTGATGCTGATGATGATCAGGAGGAGCAGGAGGAGGAGGATGCTGATGAGGATGATGCTGGTAGTGATGGTGATAGTGATGATGATGATGCTGATGACGAGGAGGAGGAGGAGGAGGAGGAGGAGGAGGAGGAGGAGGAGGAGGAGGGAGGATTTGGAGGAGGAGGAGGAGGAAGGCGAGAAACGCTCCCGCATGTGGCGTGCTTTTGCCCCCCGTTCTTGGGGAGCTCTCGTGGCCGTGACCGACGGCGGTCTCGGGGGCATGGGTGGAGAAGGTGGAGGGGAAGGAGGAGGACGAGGAAGAGGAGGAGGAGGAGGAGGAGGAGGAAGAGGAGGGTGGAGGATCTTGCGAGGTCCACAACTATCGAATGGCCTTCGGACCACTCCGCCACCGTGCCCGAGCTGTGGGTGACGCGTCTTGGGTGGATGCCAGGATCTGTTGGGATGCCCCTCGGGGGCCCCTTGCAGGACTCTTCGGGGCCTTTTTGGCCCTCCAGGGGGCCTCTTCGGATC